CATTCCTCTGGAATAATTACCTTCACAGAAAAAGTGGTCCCGGAGAGAGGCAGGAATGGAAACACGGGGAGTGGGCTGGTGTTCATCTCAGTACTTCCACCCTTTGCCTCTGCCACCCTGCCCCCTACCAAATCACCCAGATCAGTCGATGTGCCAGAGCAGAGGCTCAATAAGGGCAGCCTGAGCTTGACTCACACAAGAAATTTTGTCTGACCAACTCAGGGTTTTCTATTTTAATATGAAAATTGGGTTTTATATTTCCAAAAGTTCAGATTTCTGCTCCTTGAAAAGTCAGAAATCAGGCCCTCCTGGGCTCTTTCCTCAGTTCCTATCAACAGTAGGCTCATCCTTGGTAACAGTCATCAATTTGCCATAGTCTCCACCATTCCCTATTGTTTTATCCTCATTTACATTGCTTGCTTGACCCCAGAGGCATCTGTAACATCTGGTCTAGAGTCACCAAATTACAATAGCTATTTTCCCAGAGAAATTCTTTCCTTCTGGCACCTTCTCTAAGAAGTCAAAAGGCATGTGTTTGGGGGTTCCATCAAGAATGGTGCCACAAGAGGAGGCCAGAACAATGCTGCCCTCCAGACTCCATTCCTTCCCCAACAGGTAAAGAGCACTGGGTTGGAAGCCTGGCACCCAACCAGGATATAGAAACTCATCCCCTTCCATGTCACCACCTGGAGTTCAGTGTCTCCTCCTGTGATGAGGAAGGATTCAGGAGAGGGCTCAGAGGCTCCTGTTGGCACTGATTTGTCTTGAAAGCAGGGGCAACTTTCTGGCTCCTTCGAACTACAGCCACAAGACCACATCAGGGGCCTTGGTCTTTGTTCGGAGCTCATCACCCAGTGGGTTGCCTATCAGACAAGGGCAAAGCCGAAATGTCCCACCCGCAAGAGCCCAGCTCTTAAGAGATGAGCTGAAAACCTTTGTTCCTTGCTGAGATGGTTCATTTACAGCCCGAGACGCATGGTGGGTGGGTGTCAGAGAAGTAGGGTTCCTGGTGGGACCAGAAAGCAATAAAAACTTAGAGTAGAGAAAAAAAGCATTGAGAGCATGGGAGAGATAAAAGAAGATGTAGAGAGGGAAAGAGAGAGAGAGAGAGAGAGTTGGCTAAAGAACTGCGTAATTCCAGACTCAAGGAAAAAAAAAAAGTTAAACCCTGGGGGGATTAAAAACACTAAAAAGTGTCATCAATCTATATTGTTACTTATACCCGCGCCACCGCAGCCCCAAGCCCTGGCTGCCTCCAAATGAGCCTTCAGCTCTGTAAGCTGTTTTCTTCGATTGCATCTAATGTAAAATGTTCCACTAGAATAATTTTGTATTCATTTCACCAAGCAAGAGAAAAGACCTGAGATGCTTTGAAAAAGCAGCCAAGCCCAGGCAGTTTTAATAAGGTAGTGGGTGGGGGAGAAGAGCACTTGAACACAAATCTGAAGCAAAGAACAAGCTCTAGAGAGATAGCCGGGCGGCGCCGGAGAGATTGGGGAGACAGGGGCAGACACAGAGCAACCGCAGAGGAGTGGGTTTGGAGCACCCCTCTGGAGCGCCATACCTCACCTGAAATCCAAGTCAGACTCTAGGAAGGTGAACCTTCCAGGACCTTCCCTGTCAACAATGTCCCTTGAGCAACACCATCCCAACCCTAGCCCCTTAGACAGAAGGGCCTGAAGAGAAGCACCTAGCAGGGTGTTCACAGGCCTGTGGGTGACATTGTGTCTTCTCCAGAACAAGTATGAAGTCCCAGACATTCCAGGAAACCCTCCGGGGCTCCCCTTCACCCTGAGACTGCAAGTCACAAGGTCCCCTGGTGATGAGACACCAGGGAGTTCTAGCCCCAACCAGCACAAAGTAGAGAGTGACTTCCTTTACACCTGAGTTCTGGAACTTACTTTGGGCAGTGGGATTGAAACGGAAGGGAGTAATTCTCTACAATGGTAAGCAAAGACAACTTTTCCTTCATCACTGTAGCAATTGCCTAACTAGCTTGCTGACTGTGCCCCCAGTCCATACTCAACAGCAGCCAGAGACTTCTCCGGGAAACTTGAATCCGATTCTGCCAGGGAAGGATGGCATCTCTGAAAAACCCTAAGTGACTTCCCATATTTTAGAATAAGAATGAAATTCTCTAGCTGGCCTATCTGCCAGGCAGTTTCCATCATGCAAGTAACAGGGGACACTACTCTTAATTGTTAGGAAAACAGAAGCAAACGAGGACTGTCCCCACTAAATCGAGAGGTCCAGTGATATCCACACAGGCTATGTGTCCTGGACCCCAGCCCTCTCACCTGCTCAGCCTCAGTTGCTTTCTAGCTTTGCTCTGCATCCCTGCCGTGCTGGCCTTCTTTCACTCCCCAGAACTGCTCGTGGGTCTTCCGACCACAGGGCTTTTGCATGTGCTACACCCTCTGCCTGGAATCCCTTTGGTCAGCCCCTTCAATCACGCAATCAAACTTATCACCCATATCACAGTTCAAACAATATTTTGAAAAGAGACTTTCCCCTCACCTACCCAAGGCCAGCTTAGGCCATGTCCCTTTGTTATGTTTCAAAAAAAGCCTGTTCCTTCCCTTTAGATCATTTCTCTCCCATTGTGGTTGTTCATTCATTTGTTTAATAGCTGGCTTGCTGTGTCTCTCCCTCACCAGGCAGGGACTGGATATGTTCTGCTCACATTATGCACCTAGCCGGCAGCATAGCGCCCGAACAGAGTAGGTGCTCAACAGCTCCGTGACCAACCAGATGGTCTGAGGTAAGGAAGCCTGTTGGAGTCAGCTTGGTGAGGGGGACAAGACAGCTTTATGGAGGGCATGTGCCTTCATGCTGAAGCAATGGCAAGCCTTCAACAGGTATTTATTAATCAAGACTGGACTAGATGAGAGAAGCAAATCAGGTGCAGTCCTCGCCTTCATTGACTTTACAATTTAGAGCAGGGCACGAACATGAATCCAATAATAACTGAACAAATAAATGTGTGGTAATAAAGGGAGGTAAGTGATCCAGAACAGCACTGCCCGGACCTTTCTGTGATGATGGGAGATACAGCAAGTCCTTGAAGAACATGGCTTCATTTTACGTCATTTTGTCATGTTGATGAGGGGAAAACATGGACTCCTGGTGGGGCCGTGGGGTGTGTGCAGTGTGCGTGTTCTCTCCATGTCCCTGTGGGGTTTTCCTGGATACCCACGGGGATTTCCTCCCACATCCCAAAGATGTGAGCATGTCTAAATTATCGAGGCATCTACACAATGCCAGTCTGGTTGGGTGTGGGTGAGTGCACCCTGCAATGGAAGCGTGTCTGTCCAAGGCTGGGTTCCACCTCATGCTGCTGGGACAGGTTCTTTCCACCCTTGATGCTCAAGGGGAATAAGTATGTTGGAAAGGAAGTGAATGTGTGAACGTTAGCAATGTCTTGGGGTCTTTACTTAGAAGTTAGGTGATATATTTGTGACCAGGATATTGGTTGTTGGAAATTAGCACTTGTTTATTCAACTAGCCTATGGCAAAACTGATTTTGTTATAGTTTTGCTTAAAGTCAGTTCCAAGAACCCATGGATGGCATTAAGTGAGGACTGGCTGTGGCAGCTACTGTTGGCTGATTTTCCTCAAAACCCCTAACAGGTAGTGAAAAGAGCACCCAAACTAGAAAACGCCAGTTGGGGTTCTAAGCCCAGCTCAATGACTTACAGACCAAGTAACACTTATTCAAGGCCCTGATTTCCTCTGAGCCTGTTTCCTCATCTGTAAAATGGATGGACCCCATGAAAGCATATATGTACAATGATGAAAACTATACCCCTAGATGAAGGTAAGCTGTGAGCATAACCCCTCTTTTGCTCATTATAGAAAATCTGGGAAATGTAGCGATTTAAAGGTATTTCAAAATGGGCTAACATTTTGGCTGTCTTTTCAGTCATTTTTCCTTTGCATGTATGTGTACACATATAGTTGCTGAGACAAATGCCAGGCGCATACTTACCTGCTGTTCTGCCATCTACTTGGTCCCTCAGCAATAGATCATGGACCTTCCCCTAAGTCATTAGTTTTCTACGACACGGTTTCAATGACTGCAGAGTGTTCCATGAGATGCTGTCACTGTACCTCCAGCGCCCATTACTCCCTTCATTAGCAGGTGAGAGTGAGTGCAGGGAAGTCCCGGGCTGCTTCCTCTCTCCCAGCACGTTCAGACTCCCAGTGCCTAGAATCCACTGCTTTGATGCCTCTGAGTGAATCAAACTATCAACGGGGAAGTCTCCCAGGGACTCAGCTGATCCCACCCAAATCTATGTGATCACTGCTGGGCCCTGAAATCAGCCAAATCCTGATGGCAGTTTTGCCAGATTCACCAGCAATGGCTCATGGGCAATAGGCAGCCAGTGCTGCAGTGGGGGGATCTGCAGCAGAGGCCCATCAAGATCCCAGCTAGTAGGGGGAGCACCCACCTAGCTAGCAAGAGGAGCGCCCCACCCAGCTAGCAGGGGGAACAGCTTCCTTTCTTTGTGGCCAGGGAGTTGCATGGGGCTTTCATATTTTCAAAGTTCGGGTGGACTTGGGCCCTCTGAGCAGCACTCCTGCTGAATTGGTTTTCAGACTGTGCCACTTTAAACATGATTCAAGAAAAATTACCGGAGCCTCCACTCCATCTGTCTCTGGAAATGGTCTTTGTGCTCAGATCATTTGCCAGCGACACTCCATCTCCACAATTACCTCGGCTATTTTATCTTTATCTGTCTGGAACACTGAAAGGGAAGCAGCAGATAACACCGTTATTGAAGTGACTTGTTCAACTTAAATACTTTCACACTTCAGAGCGTGAAATACCCCACTGCTGCCCTGGCCATTCCCGGGGGACCACCCTGCCCTGTCTTTGGGGCCTTAGCATGATAAAGAAGGGCTGCAGACAAAAGGGTTTCTCCCTAAGGGGGGTGGGGAGGGGCTGCCTTTGGGCCGCAGGAAGGGGACTGACCCCTTCATGTGCTACCTTCCCCCAGGAGGCCCCAGGCACCTCGAATGGCCTTCCGGGACCAGCATGCAGCGATGCACCCCGAAGACACACCTGCAGGAGCAGTGGCCGAAGCCGAGCCTGCCTGAATGGTCAAGAGGAAAAGAGCAGCATCGGACAGTGGGAAGCCACCCACCCTGCTGCCTGCCGTGAGTCTCTCCACGCGGCTGCTCCACGCACACGCTACCCACGGCGGAAGGAGGCAGGATGCGGCGCGTGCCTCCTGCCTTCAGGGAGATAAACTATCAAAAGATAATGAACAAAACCAGGCAGTACATGCCAGGTTAATAAGAGCCGGCACTTATTGAGCTCTTACTACGTGCCAGGCATTCTGCTCAGCGCTTCATCACATTTCCTTATTTACTCCTCACAACTGTGCTCTGAGGTACACATGGTGAGCCTCGTTTTTCAGGCGAGGACACAGAGCCAGAGTGAGACTGAACGACTCAGGGTTGCTGCTTCCACAGGGAGCCGTCAGGAGGCCAGGAGAGGGGGTCCCGCTCCGCTTTCTAATAAAACCACCAGCCAGTTCAAGTGTTAGGACCAGAAATGGATTAAAAAATAATAATGCACAGAGGCCCCAGCGGGCGTGACACTGCGCACCTGCTCGCTGCGGCCAGGTGCTTCCCCCGCGGCTCATCCCACATGTCACCCCCAAAGGTGGGCTCTCCTGTGTTTTCTTCTCCCCTCCCCCAGGAGGGAGACTTCTATCCCTCCCTTCCTTCCTTCCCAGGGGATCAGCCCACAGGAGGGGTCCTTTGCTCTCCTGGGACAGAATCACCAGAGCCAGAGGGCGCTCGTTGGAGTTGAAGGGGGGTGGGGGGGGCGGCTTTCTTACAGCGGCTCTCACGCTGAGGGACCAGCCTGGGAAAGGAGACTGTACCTGACTCCCCGGAGGGACTCAGGAGATGTTTAAAGGGCAGGTCCACGCGCGCGCTAGAGGACAGCGACGTGGAGCCTGCTCTGGGTTGGGCGACGCACGGGGAGGCGGGTGACATCCCAGCTGTGCCCTCCGTCCAGGAAGTCGTGAGACAATCATGGTCAGGCTCTAAGCCTCGTGGTCAGTGTAACAGCTGAACGGTTTGCACAGGGCTTGCCGGTGCATGATTCGGTCCACCTGCTCAAACAGGACTGGGGCCACTCACCCCACGGCTTGCAGTTTCATTCCTCGGCTGTCTCAGAGGCAGGACAGTCACAGGGAGGGAAAGTGTGAGGACACAGGGCACGTCTCAAGCGTCAAAGGGGACAGGAAGACTGTAGCCTGGTGCAGGCTGGCCAATGACCCCGACACGGGGACAGGCGGGCTGGGGTTTCAAGGGTCGCGGCTGGTCTGAGGGGGCAGCAGCTCCCCTGGGCAAGTCGCTCAGGTGCTTTGCCTCCCAGACCTGCTCTGCAGCCCCTGGCCTGCCCCAGGGATGAGCTGGCTGACCAAGCTGAGATTCAGACCCCGGAAAACAGAAGTGCACCCTGCAAGTTCTGGCTCCTCTTGTCACCTGGGAGGGTCTCTTCCTGCACCCATTCTGCCTGCAGCGTTCCCCGGGTACTTGACCCCCGGGCTGGGGCAGGGTGACTTTGCTAGCACAGTTACCTCCTCTTTTTCAGTCCAGACCTACAGCCTGTCCCTGACAGTGGCCCCAGCGAGGTCACTCTGCAAGTATGGTGACCAGGGAGGGAGGCGCAGAAGGCCCCGTGTGATCCAAGGCAGACAGCTGCAATTTCACATGTGGAAAAAGCCGGACCTTGAAACACAAGTGCTATTTTCATTTTGTCACTTCTCCTTCTTTAACCACAGACTGGGGGTGGCAGTGGGGTAGGAAGGGGGGGGAAATAAACCCTCTTTGATTTGTAGACTGAATTCTCTAAAGAGGCAACTGGAACTTTTTTTATTTTTTCCTTTTGCTTGGGGCAGACACCAACGGCCCAGAGTAGGAACAGGCACCTCGGTCAGATGGCTGCAAATGCCAAAAGTCACTGTGGGGAACACCGTACCACTGATCCATCTTTCCTGCTAATCCGAAAGTCAAAAAAGTCCATGGAGGTATTTTTTTTCCCCTAGAATTTCAGGCTCCCGGAGGACTAATTTCTCTGAAAGCTGCATTAAACTAATAGCACCATAAAAGGCCCATTGTGGGATGTAATTGGTTTGCAGGACTTTCCTATAAAAATAATAAAAAGACTGCCAAAGGCAGTTTCCAAAGGTCAATTATCTTTGTGTTGCTTGAGTTGAGTGGAGGTCAGTCCCAGAATTCCATTTTATAGGCATATTAATCAAAACTGGGCCTGCCCTGCCCATCTGACCCCATCAGCTGTCAGAGAAGTCACAGGATTCCCCTTATCCAAGTGCCAAAAGCATGCTTTGGGCATCCTTTCCCCAGGAAGGGACCGGCCCATCACCACGGTGAACGCGGAACTGGAAGATGATGTTCTCAAGGCAGAAGGAAAGGGGAAAGGCTGTATGTCCTGAGCCCAAAAAAGAAGAGATGATAACTCGGTGAGTCAAGCAGGCCGGGAGCCAGGCAGTGAGCCGAGACCAGGAGAGACAGGCGCCCGTCTCCAAGGAGCTGGAGACGTGGTTAGTCATGACTCGCGCATGATTTGCGCAAAAACAGCGTAAGCAAGATGAAAAGCTTAGTTGACTGACATAGCTGGGAATTTTAAGGATGACTGGATCCAAGGGTTCAAACCATGTCAGCTGAACGAGGAAGTCTTCCCCTTGTCCCCCTCTACCCTCTCCCTTTGTCTCTCTGCACTGCAGAGAAACAGACAAATTCTCTGCCAGGGAGAGGCAAGAAGGTTTCAGACTGCCTCGTTGCCCACTTTCCACCTTGAGCTTCCCCGTAGAGAGAGGGGCTTTTCCTCTGGTTAGCCCTGTTTGGGTCATGTGCCCTCCCCGCCCCAGCACAATCATTGTATCCACGGGGTTGAGAGAATATGATTCGCTCAGACTGAGCCATGGGCTCATGCCTGTGTCTGGGAGGTCTGGAGATGGGTATACAGCATATTTGACAATTAACCAGGTCACCTGGAGTAGGGTAGAAGGAAGTTCCCAAAGCAGGAGATGCTGGCAGACATGATCTCACTGACCCAAAGAGAGCCATCAAAATGCCCTGTACCAGTTAGTTTAAGGTCGCATCATTGGAAATACTCCACTCATCTCTTCATACCTTTCTTCCATCCATCCATCCATCCATCCATCCATCCATCCATCCATCCATCCATCCATCCTTTTATCCAGCAAGAGTTGGTTTGACAGGAACAAGTTCTTCTCCTTCAAATAAAATCTGAAAACCAAAGTATTTTAAACCAAAGTTTCTAAAAGAATAAATTATCCTCAAACCTTAGAGTCTACAAGTCTCAATCAGAATGCATTAAAAAGTACGGAAGGTGGTACACCAAAATATTAACAATGATTGTCCTTAAGTGGTATATGTGGCTCCTTGTGTTTTCTTTAATGCATATCATGTGTTCTAATCTTTCTGCAATGAAAATTTATCATTTGTATAACTTTAAAAAGGAAATAATAAAACTAAAACTTCTGAATCTCATGATTCTGTTCTATGCACACCATGTAACCCTTTTGCAAGTTAAACTGGTTCCCAGCTGACTGTGCCACTAGAAAGAATGGGCTGTCCATTCCAGTCACTCAGTAGCTATGTCTGTCAATACTAGTACTATGTAGCCACACTGGCTTATCAAGTCTTCTCTGAGTCTTAGGCATGAAAATCTCCTACTTACAAGGTGCTGGCTCAAAAGCCAGACTGTTCCAGGCAAAACCTGATGGCAGCATTCAAGGCCCTGGAGGATAAAAGTGTCTGGCTTTTCACAATAGCCCTGCGGTGGCTGGGCACATTTGCAGCTAGACACAGAGCTGTTACTCATTAGCAGCTAAGTCAAAGCCAGTGCAACTTCTATCATCTACATGAGCTGGTAGTCTCTTGATGCAATCAGTGGCTGTCCACACTGAGCATGAAAGGGATGTGCCTTCCTGGGAACAACAGCAGAAAAATTCCAGCTGGGGCTGGTGGCTCCATAGTCATTTCTGTGATGGGAATAAAAGTGGAAATTATCAGACCTTTGAAATAGCTCAAACTTAGATCTTAATATTTCGAATAGGATCAAAGTGCCTTGGCATAGTGCAGTACTTTTCATGGAGTCCTTTGTCACAAAGGTATGGAAATACACAAATATGTCAGTCAAAAGCATTTTAAACCTTTATACCCAGACTCATCCTGGAAGAAGCAGGATTGCTGTTCAAATAAAGGAAACAAATTGAAAGGATGTTGGGGCTTCTCAGATGTGAAACTAGTAAATGACTGAATCCCAACCTATCTACATACTATTCACCCGGACTGTGACTCTGATACCTATCTTGAGGAAATAGCTATTCGTCCAAAATAAACTAACATTTGCTCTTCATCATCTATGATTTATATGTATTATTTCAAGTCTTTCCTTACAACACCCCTACATGCTTTTGAAGGTGGGATTAATGGATAACACGCGTAATTAAGGACTGGGGTTTAACCAAGTCAGTCTCTACTCCATCCCATGCCCCCTTCCACGATGCTTATGTGCCCTTCTCAACAACATCCTCGCTGTATCTGCACTTTATGTGCACACCTGTAGGTGTAGGCATGCATGCCCATAGGCACCACCTACATGCTCATTCTGTGCAATGCTGAGGCACCACGTTTTCTGTCTCTACTACATATTAAAATACAGGCAGGAGCCTCTCTGGTGGTGCTAGGGGTTAAGACGCAGCACTATAAAGCTATCTGCAGCCACTGCAACATGGGTTCGATCCCAAGCCAGGGAGGTGACCCACATGGTGCAGCAGACCTCTTCTGACTCGCCCGCTGCTCCCCTCAGCAGTGTATTGAGTCGATCTGCCTGTTCTGTTCCCCATTCTGTCTCTGATGAATCCTCTCACTCTCCACTCCTCTGGCCTGCATCCCAGTTCTTGTGTGCATAAATAAATGAATATTTAAAAAATAATAATAAAACAAAATAAAGGCAATGGGAAAGGTGGTCAAATTCTTTGTACACTATAGAATGCAAGCCAGGGATTCCAGACAAGCTTGGCCATATC